CTGATATCCCTTTTATTAAAGCCCAGCTGGTGGCAAATAGAAATGAAATCAACTGTGACACCTCATTAGTGATGTATACACCCTCTGGTTGGACATCAGTGTAGTCCTGCTCTCAAGAAATGAGTATCTACATCGTTTTACCACTGTAAATGACGATGTTGAAAGTCATCAAGTAGCTGTTAATACAGTGAGTACCCTTCTGGCAGCAAGGGGACCAAGACACTTTCACAGAGAAAAATTCCACTTGATTACCAAATAGCTCTCACTTGGTAAAATTGCTTTCACCTTCATTTAGATGCATCAAATGAAGATGCTTCTTCAGGGTGTGCTGGGAAATTTGTTGCAAGCCTAACAGTCTCTCCCTGGAATCTTTTCCTTGCAGACTAAGCCCAAAGTTTCCATTGCTTAATTTTAGTCTGTTTTGTTCCTGGTTCATCTCCTGATGCTGCATGTAGAATTCAAAAGAACCTTAACAGGTTTTCAATATTTATTTTATAACAAAACCCACAGCTATTTAAATATAATATCTGATTGTGTTCCTCTAAATCCCCCCTTTTGCTGGAAAGGCTTCTATATTTGCACACTCAGAAGGAAACAAAATTACTTACTGTGGTTTCATGTGCAGACCATGATGAAGGAGATAGAATGAGCAGTTTAGCCTTTGATTCATTTTCAAGTTTGCAGGATCAGTGACAGAGCGTTTTGTTCCTGGCTATGCTGGTGCAAAATCAACGTAGCGTGATGGACTCAAATAACTCCGGCTCCAGCTTATCATTAACTTCAAGGGATTTACTCCACACTTTAATCAGTCACTGAATGCATAATCTGACCTGGGAAGAGGCATGAAGTGTAAGTCAGTGCCTGATTTGGTTTGATGCCAATACTGGTGGGAGAAGTGCTTTCAAGAGTTTTGATAAAAGGTATTTCTTAGATAATGAACACTCCTACAGAATGAGGCCTTATCAAATGTGGAATGAGTATGGTCTATCAAACATTTGCTTTCAACTTCTGATCCTCAGTAAAGTAAAAACTCTGGATGATGAAGCAAGGGAGGGAGTTTTCCTCTTGCATGCCAGGTTGCAGCATTTGGAGGCACTGGGTTTTGTGTCACCCCTGTGTTCTACGGGTGGAGAAGGGGATGCTGGAAACACTTTTCAGCTCAGTGGGACTCTTTGAGAAGGAGAGAGAAAATTACTCTTTTATTATAAGGTTTGCCAAATGATCTCTGAGAAAATGTGATATCATTCATATGCATTGCCAAGCTGGAGAGATGCTGCACATCTTGGCAGTCATCTAGAGCTAACATATAATTCCTTTGGGTTGGTATGGGCTTTATCAGAAACAGCTCCATATGCAGTATTTACATAACTGTGGTGGAGTGTGAGAATAAACACAGCTGTGGCATTGCCCTAAATATTTCAATTCAGTGGGGAATTAAGGGAACTTTATCACTGAACTGCAGATAAACAGAAGTCAGTAAGCGGTGGTCAGTTTAGCCAAGGAGCAAATCAAAACTACAATGGCTGGACTGCTGGAAACATTTAAGTGCTTTAGTCTTGAGTTTACTAAGGTCACTGGTGTATTTTTGCTTTTTAAAAGGTATAGAAATGCCATCAGTCAGCTGTTATACAGAAATCATCATCCAAATGGACTGGTGAATCAAAGCAGCGTAGGCTGAAAGGCAGAAAAGGAAAGAGTTTAGAGGGATGCAGCACTTTCAGCATCTGATTGCTGTCAGAGTCCATAGGTTTCCAGGAGGATTTTAAGTTTCTTTTAGTATCTCCATCCCAATTGACTGTGGAGACACAAGTCTTTGGTCTTTAGTGGAAATCTGCAAGCTCAGTTTCCTAAGGTTTTCTAGTGTCCAGATCTCATAGGAATAACCAGTATCAGAGTTCAGACAGTTGAGGATTTAGACTTTCATCCTTAAGGTGTGAAAAAAGAAGCAGCTTGCACAGGAAAGACACTTGCAGATGTATTTCTGGGGCTGGACAAGTGCCATGGATAAAAAGATTCAGTTTCAGGGCTGTCAAAGCAGCATTTATTCCTGTTTCAAACTCACTTTTGAAAAGTGTAGCATGTATTGTCCAGTCTTCTGTCACTCAGCTCAAGGAACAAGGTAGACTGTCTGCACTTGTTAGTGCATCATCATCAAACTTTGATGACTGACAAGCAGTCCCAAAACAGCTCCATTAGAAGTCACTGAGGGATGTTATTTTACGAGTATATTTGCAAGCACAGCTCAGTATGTGCGTGCGTATGTATGCTAGAATATATACTTTGATATCACATTTGAATGTGTATATATTAGAATACACATGGTTTAGAACCCCTAAAACAGACCTGTTAACAGCTGTCTAAGTGTTCATTATTTCAGGGGACAGAACTCTTGTACAAATACTTAACTAGTCACCATCAAGGGAAATACACTTTGCTGAAGGCCAAGTAGCAAAATACTTGTTTGTATGCTAATCCACTTGCTTTAAGGAAGAATTTACAAATTGGAGGTAAGTGAGCTGCCATTTGGAAGCTTTCAGCTCTAGATAATTTATTTTTCAAACCAGAACCTGCTACAACTCTAACTTAGAAAGAAATCACACAAATTTGTTGCTTCTCCTTCGCAATCGAAAGAGCAGCACATTCTTCTGAGTGTTTATAGTCCATGTTCAGCACTTTGTTTTCTGCACGACGTGCAGCAACTTTGTAGGTGGAAGTTCCTGTATAGAAACCACAGGCTTTGTAAAGAGCACTGTTTCACGCAGGCCATATGGTGCATTAACATTTTTCAAAACCAGAATACTGCTGTGCTGTCCAAATCATTTGTGTTTTTCAAAGAAGTCTTAAAATAGGAGATGGAAAGTCCTGAGTGCTGCTCCTGGCCTGTCCCTGCCTTCTGGGTTCTTCACTTTTCCACTTTTTCGGTGGTGAAATAGGGATGCTGTCACTGGCCTATTTGTAAGGTCAGTGCTGTAAGATCTCCTGCCAAAAAGTGCTCTGTAAGTAACAAGCAGCATTTTACTGCTTACCACAATGTACTTTGAAAATCCAAGCCTGTACAGTTTGGTTTTATTAATAGCTGCCTATCAGAACAAGCTCAAACTCCAGTTCATATGGCAGTGCGGGAGCAGTGTTCCTGGTGGAAAGACAGACCAGGGTGTGGTAGCTGTGCATGTGCATGATGGGCACAAATGGCTAAGTCACAACCATCAGGAAGATGTTTTTTCTTAGTATTTCAGATAAAATGAGAGTGTGATTGGGAACATACCTATCTATAAACATAGTTTTCTTATTCATCAGACCCACATCATCTGACAAGGAATTTTGCTTTTGGTACCTGAAGTTGAATGTTTGATGCATCCTGGAGTGGCCAAATAAGAACCTTTATTTTCAAACAGTGCTGAGCTGCAGCAGCTTTATTGAGGAAACGTGCATTACTGTGTTGGCTCAGCTCTTTCTGAAAAATCAACTCACTTTTTAAGCTATCCAAACAGTGATTTAGGACCCTGAACAGTTCAGCTGCTGAGTTTGGAAAATCATGACCTTTTCTATCTTTAGAACAGTGTCTGTGTGGAGACCTCCCCTTCCCAAAATGGACAAACATGAAACCAGCCATCCTAGCTCTCTGAGCCTCAGAGAGCTGTGCAGATTGAGTCACCCTCTGTTCTGGATTCTGCGCTGGTTTAAACAATTAATTAAAACCTCTTAATTGTTAGTTAAGCTCTAAATTGCAGAATTTTGTAATTGCATAACAAATATTTGCATTACAGTACTGTTTTCAACCTCAACCTGAATAAATTCCACTGAACTAATTAATTTTCTGCTGCAGAAAGGGTCATTGTGTGTCCCAGAGATTGGGCAGCCATACACAGGACAGAAGTACTTGCTTAGGCTCAGATCCCAGGTCGAATTTGTGAGGGTAACATTCAGGGCCAGTCACTGTACCTTTACAATGAAAAAGCACAAATGTGATAACAGAGTTGAGTGATCAGTAATGACCAGGGCTTGGTTTTATAATTGCCACATAAAGATAAACTAGACTATTACTCTGTGGGTTATTTAACAAATGTTCAAGGAAATGTAGCCCACAAAGCTATAAAGAGCACACAAAGCACAACTAATAACTAATAACTTCACTGAGAACAGAGCTGAAATAGCTGCAGCTGCCTGTCAAAGCATTTTTGTTGTTGTTAGCAAAGGTGTGGGCACAGTTCCCATAACCACAATGTACAGGATTCGTTTTCCTGAAAACTGTGTCCGTTTGAGCTTTTCAAACCACAGTGGTGGGGTGGAAACCCACAGGATGGTCTAGTAGGCATGGGTTTTTTTGAAAAAAACTCAACTCTTTCCACAGGAGTTTGACAAGCTGTAAAAGATGCCTGCCAGCAGCACTCATATGGTTGTGGTTAGCAGGATCTAAATGGAGCATTGAGTATGTATGTTGGTAACTCCCAGAGAAGGCCAGTTGTGGTAAGCCTCTGGTTAATGCCTAGTGGTGTGACTGAAACTACAGCACAATTCTAAGAAAATTCCTCCATTTGGGTGAGAATAGTTTCATTTCTCTCTGTATGAGTAAATTAAACACACCAAAAAACTCTGGTTGTGCCATGCTACCCAGCTAGGGAAGGCAGCAGCTTGTCCCTGGCTTCTCCACAGTCATCTGTCATGCAGTTCAGGGTGGTTGTCATGTCGGTTGGTGAATGTTAATGGGTGAATGTTGCTCTTGCCTTTATATTTGAAACTCCTATTGACATGCTGTATGTGGAGTTGCAGCAGCATTGGCAAATCCCCTTCTCAAGGATTTTATCATAATGCCAGTACAGACCTGGCTTCGGTTAAGGTGGTTCTTCTCTACTGAGATGCTGAAAAGCTAAGTTTTTAGTGCTAGGTCTTGGTATAAGTATGCTTGTTTTTAACTCATTGCAGGCAATAAATGAGGTAATAAATTGAGCTGCCTAACAGGATCTGAATGAACGTAATGTTTTTCTCCCATATTTTTCTAGACTTATTGAAGTTCATTCACCTGATGCCAAGCACACCGTGGTGCTCAGGAGTAAGGATTCGGCTACAGCCCAGGCCTGGTTCAATGCCATCCACTCCAGTGTCAATGAGCTCATCCCCAGGGTGATTGCAGAGGTCAGAGACCAGCTGGGTAAAACAGGGATTGCTGGAAGTCGAGAGATTAGGCATCTAGGCTGGCTTGCAGAAAAGGTAATGAAAACCTTCTTATTTTCATTTCTAAGCTCTTTATCACTTGCTCTCTGTTTCTGAATTCAGCCTTGTCTGGAAGTGGAGAGACTAAATGAGATTCTGGGGTTTGATTTAGCTTTTCTTGAAGACCTTTCTTAACATTCCAATTTTTGAGCTTTAAACAGAAAACAAAACCAAACAAAAATGAAAACTAAAAACAAACAAAAACCCCACAACAACAACAACAACAACAACAACAACAAACCCAAACCCAAACAAGAAAAGCCTCACTAAACCCCAGAAAACTAGAAAGTCCCCATATTCTTTGCTTCTGTATGCCAACTAGCAGAAACTTTCCTGGGAGACCAGAAAGTCTCATCTGTCAAGTTCAGGCATAAGAACTGACACCAGCCTTGAGCTCCGCTGCTGTTACAACTACCATCATGTATATGGGTTGTCACCTTCCTACTCTGAGCTTGGGAAGTACCCACTTACATGGTCCATGGTCCACCCCTCCACTGTGCCTGGCCACAGGAGCTGGGTATGGTCTGGAGCGTGAGGTGGTGTCGCCATTGAGCGTGGGAGCTTGTTCTTAAATTGTAACTCTGCATTTGAGCTGAGCATCATAGAATGCGGAGCTTGCAATGGCAACTCTTCCCCGTCTTGCACAGTTGGAGTCTCAAAATGTTTTACACCACAGAGGAAACCAGGTGTTCGGTTTGAAAGTAGTTTGGGATCTGTTGACCCTATGGAAAGACAGCCCGTGAATGCACAGGGATGGTATCAGTATGACATAATCTGGTTTTAAATCAGTAGTCTCAGAATTTGTTTTAGGCACTGTACCAGCTGCTAAGTGTGGATTTGCTACAGTAACAACGTTAGAATTGAATCTAGAAATAATTCCCATTCAGCTACTGCCTGGGCAGCCATTTAGAGCCTCTCTGCCTCTTCAGCTGGGGTGTGTGGGAAAATGGCCACTTTGTACACACTGCCCTCTCAACCTGTGCATGCAGCACAGCTGTGGAAAGCTGACTGTGATTTCCCTGAAAATAAAACACTGTATCTTTTAACTCTCTTTGGGATTTTGTAGATGAAAATACGGGAGGCACAGGTGCCATATTTCTATCTGGTGTCCATTAAGAAGGCATGCCATGAATTTTTAGCAAAATGTGGGCCAGTCCATGCCACTTGCAGTGACTCAAAGGTTCCAAAGCCTTTCAGGCAGATTTTGTATGTTTTCCTGTCCCTCCCTCCAAGCTTGCAGAGAGGAGACAACAACACAACTCTGTGGCTTAGTACTGCAGAAAATGTAAAAATGTGGAGGAATTGGTAAAGCATTGATAAGTAAATTTTAAGAGTGTTAAACTGTACAGCCATGGGATCGTTAATCTTGTTTTCCCTTTTGTATTTCTATAAACTTATGAAAAGCTGAATATAAGAAGCTTTTTCTGTTGCAAAATCCTCTCGTCTGAAAGGGTAACTGCTCTGTACCAGATCTTATAGGTCTTGTAATATTCACAGATCATCATAAGCGGACACACGGTATGCTCTTCTGGCTTATGAATTTCCTCTTCTTACAGTTAATACACAATATCCTGTTCACAGGCTTCTTTCTTCTCTCTGTTTTACAAATTTTTTTGCCTTGAGGACTGAAATCTTATTTCATGTTGCTCATTATGGACCATTTCAAGGTCTTGCTGAATTTAGTGGTGAAACTTGTTTTGCCATTAATAGGGTCAAGCTGTGGCTCTGTGCATGTCCCAGTGTATTTACAGTGGCTGTCACCAAGAATTAGCCTTGAGAAATTTGCCATGACATTGTTACTCAAAAGACAACATGTTTTTTTCACTAAACTAACCATCCAGAGCTGTGCAATAGAAGTGGAGGGAGGTCAAAAGTTCCCACCTTCCTCTTGTGTTAGAGACCTGTTGAAAAGTAGAGAAAATCCCTACACATGGTAAAAAGTGATGTGAAATTGTTTTGTTTTGTTGCTGGACTGTGGGCTGTAAAGCCTGGGAGATAGAGTGGTAACCTGCAGGGTGGGAGAGGAAGGTGCATATACTGTATATATGCAAACTGTATATATACTGTATCAGACGAGGTGTTCAAGGCAGCTGGATGAGGTGCTGACCACAGGTGGTCCTTGTGCAAAACCAGGGTTTGTCAGTGGGGAAAGATTAAATTCTGCAGTGCTTTTTGGAAGCACACCATGAATACCAGTGTAGTTGTTTGATCCTGGTTGGAAGTCAGGTACCCACCAAAGCTGCCCTATTACTCCCCCTCTTCAGCTGGACAGGGGCCAGAAAATATAATGAAAGGCTCATGAGTTGAGATAAGGGCAGGGGGAGGTCACTCAGCAATTGCCATCAGAGGCAACACAGACTCGACTTGGGGAAAAACTGAATTTCTTGCCAAACAAATCAGAGTAGGGTAATGAGCAAAGAAAACTAAATCTTAAAAAAATCTTTCCCACACCTCTCCTATCTTCCCAGACTCAACTTTACTCACCATTTTTTATACCATTCTCCTTGTGGTGCAGGGGGATGGGAATGGGGTTGTGGTCAGTTCATCACACATTGTCTGTGCTGCTCCTCATACTCCTCCTCTGCTCCAGCATGGAGTCCCTCCCACGGAAGAGTCCTCTATGAACTGCTCCACTATGAGTCCTTCCCATGGGCTGCAGTTCTTCACAAACTGCTCCAGCGTGGATCCCCTGTGGTGTCACAAGTCCTGCCAGCAAACCTGCTCCAGCATGGGCTTCTCTCTCCATGGGGCCACAGGTCCTGCTCCAGCATGGGCTTCCCATGGGGTTACTAAAGCTTCTTAGACTGTAACTTGTAAGACAGATTTTATGGTATCATATTATGTTACTTACATAGCACATCCTTACAGTGAATTCTCAGCAAAATGGAACGGCTCCAAGTGAGATGAATTCCACTTCTCGTTTGGGGAATGCAAAATGTAATCCCGTAGAAATTTCACTGTAATTTGCAGTGATTACTCTCTGCTTTCATTAAGCTATTTCCTGGTTTGACATTTTTTATATGACTCTCCTCTAAACTTAGCTCTAAACTTGAACCTTCATGATACCACAAAAATAGATTCATTAGGGGACCCTCCCTCAGGTGGGTAACATTAAAATAAGTAGTAGGTTATCTAAGGTAGTAAGCAATTGCATGCTAACAGGATTCTACCACCTTAACTGAACTTTCCTGTGACGACAGCCCTGAATTTGTGGTCTTCAATGTGAAACATCCATCTTGCAGGTCCATCTTCAGGGGGCTATGCCTTGGGGTGGGCAGTGAGGGTCCATCTGCAGGTAAAGCAGAGCGCTCTGCATTACTTTTAGAAAGCAAATTCCACTGTGGCCTTCTTACAGGTAAGGAGAAAAACAGCCTTAAGCAGTCATTAGAGATGCCATATTCCTTCTTTTATTAAGGATGTAACCCTGTCCTGACCTTCACCTTATGAGGAGAGTTTTTTAAGCTGGCCAAGGATTAAGGAGTTGTATTAGTCACCAGCATCCTTAACTTCTCTGTGACTAGGAGAAATATCAAGTACTGGTTTGTAATGAAGTGTGTGTGCTCCTCACCTTTTATTTCCTGTATTTGTCTTTTCACTTCAGCAAGACCTCTGCAGTTAACAAGCACACTAGGCATGAGGGAGCAGTTACATGTGAGTTTTAATCTTTCCAGGTCTTGTCTTTTTTTTCATGCTCCCTGTAAATACAGTTTTAGCAACCAAATGTAAAAAAAGAAGAGTTAGTAATGTCATCCAAATTGAGGAGCTTTTCCATGTGTGTGTTAATTGTTCCTCTTCTTTCCAGGAATGCTTTCAATCCTTGTAGAAATGTCATCTCCAGCTTTCTTTTCCTCACTTTTTTATACTTCTGCACATCTCATGGCTTATGGAGGAGCTGAAACAGGCATCACGGCTCTTCTTACACTTATCCACCTATCACTGAGTTTCTTTGTGAGGAGAAAATTCTGCTCTTGCATTGGAGAGCTAAAACACTGAGGAAATGGTAGTTTATTTTATCACTCTGTAATGTCTGCTCCAATAGGCCAAGATATTATTGGCAAAAGCTTTATCTACATTTTTGCCTCTTTAATACAAGCACAAAAAGGTGTTCTGGCAAAAGGGGTTTTGCAAAGGTAGCTTTTGCCAATTCAGCAGTCAGCCACACAAGAAAAAGCATGACTGGTTTCAGGGGCAGCTGAAGCTGTAGCCAGGCGCCAGCTTCAATCTGGGTCAGTTAGAAAAAGGCAGAAAACCTAAATGAAACCCCAAGCTGTACGTCTCTCCCTGTCCTTGCTGCACCAGTGACACTTTAAATGTGGGCTTGGAAGAAAGAAAAAGCACTTCTGCAGCCAGAGACTGTTCTCCTTTCTGCTGTCAAATGCCTTACAGGCAATGAGCTTCTTAAAATGATCCCAGGGCTCCTCTGAGAAACTTAAAAATAGGAGTTGCTGCAAGTTGTCTTTTGGAACGTTAATATTTGAAGCTGCAGAAAAAGTGCCCTTCCAGCTTTTCTCACTAGATCTTAATCTCAGCGCTTGGTTCCCGTTGCTCTGCTTGTGCAGGGCAAGTGTGTTGCCATTCCCACAGGTCTAGTGTGGGGATCAGAGGGAAGAAATGACTTGATATTGGATGGGAAATAACCAAAGTGGCACGGTGAATCGGAGTTGTTTTTCAGCTCCTGACGCTATCTCCGAAATGAAAAGTGTGTTAATATATTACAGACTGTTCAGTCTTCTCAAACCTTAGATACCCATATCATTGTGTTATCACTGAGGTGTGAGGCGTGTCACAGCAGAGTGATCTTCTTCGGTATCAAGCCATATATTGCAGCATTATATTTATCTTCCTGCTTTCTCTTTAATTCAGAGGAACTAGTGATAACAGAAAAATTGTGAGACGTGCAAGCTGTCCAAGCAAGATCTAGGCAAATGACATGAGAGTGTATTTGATGTTGTTTTCTTGCCCAGTATGAAATGAAAATGTTTCTGTTTTACCATTTC